CTGCTTCCTGCCCCCCCCCCGATCAAGTGTGTCCATTTTTTGGGGGGGAGTCTACCTCATAATCCTAGTTGTGATCAGGGTATTTTTCTTTATATTGTGGTTTGGTTTGAACTGCTCTGTGTGAATCTATGCCACTACTCCCTATTTACCATCTTGAATTGTAGTCAGAGACTTTGCTCTGTGTTTTGTTTTCCTTAGTTGCTCTGTAACATTTAGCAATTAAGTATGCTTTATCAAGTTTATCTTTTGTTGTGTAATAAAAATAACTTTTTTTAGGTGATGATTGGATTCTTGTGTCCTGGAAGTCTTGTCTATCTGTTTGTGTGTATTTTCATGCCTCCGACTGAGAGGTCAGCTACTAGAGACTGCAGCTTGTTTTCCTCTTTCCTTTTTTCAAGCTCTTTTAGAGCAAAAGAGCTTGGTGTACTGCTGGGGGTGGGTTCAAGTGTTCACCCCTGTTATTTAAGGGATAAAAATCACTTGATGGTGGCAACAATTCCCCAAAATCTGTGCATTGTGATTCTGAGGGGAAGTTTTTGTAACCAATGCCTGTAGAGGCAAAGGTTTTCTTTTTTCTTTTGAGCTCTTTTCAGGCCCCCATCTTCTGCACTCAGAGTGCCAGATTGAGGAACAGCCCTGACAGCTTAGGTGCAATCTAACAGCAAATGTACACCTGTCTAAACTTTTCAGCATGATTCTGGAAACTCTTGGTTAACCCCTGCTTAGATTAAATTTTGACCACAGGTGTCTATAGCAGTACTTGTGCTGCACTGAGGAATACGGGGAGTTGCAAACTATTAATTGAAGATGAGGCTGAGGCTGGAGGCTTCTGGTCCTGCTTGCAAGCAGTGCAAAATCCGTGTCAATTTGGAAAGTGCCAGTTTAAAGCAACGTGGGGTGGACTTTGTCTCACTGTTGTAGGGAGCAGCTCGTTTTTTCTCTCTGTGTTTTGGGGTTCTCATGCATTGTTCTGAATGATAAGAAGTGTAGTGGTGTTATGATGGAACCTTTCAGAAGGGCATTTATGTTGTTCTCTAATTCTCTTTGGGCTGTGAACATAACAACACTGACCATGGTTTGTTTGAGCTGGACTCTGCTAATTGTGCCACTGACATGGTGACTGACGTCCATTGTTAGCATTGAGCAATTTTTGAGTGTAGGCTAGATTCACAAATTTCCAGAACATAAGAATGGCCATACCAGGTGAGACCAATGGTCCATCTAGCACAGTGACCTGTGCTCTGATAGTGACCAGCATCAGAATGAACAGAACAGGTCAATTTGGAGGGATCCATCCACTGTGCTCATGGCCCAACTTCTGGTAGTTACATCATTTTCACTGGTGTTGTATAGTGCTGTAACTTCCTGCACTTGTGGTAGTGTTCCCAGTAAACTGAGTGCTTGGACGGCCACCCAGCTGTTTGACACAGTGCCCACCACTAGCTACCACCAACTCCAGGTGACCATTTTAAATCCTTCCAGGACTTATTCAGAAGAATGGCAGAATTTCTGAACATCTCTTTAGCAGAGCTGCCAGAGAGATCCAGCACAAACTCACGCACATCCTGCAAGCATCCTCATCAATAAAGATAGCTCTGCCCTTTAACTCAGCCATAATGGACCCTGCAAAGACAATATGGCAGACACTGGTCACTGTCACACCACCCCGTACACAGAAAATACAATTCATCAATGATTTCCTATTTACTCATCTGGCTGTAGAGGTGGCATATTAAAAGGGAAAAGAACCCCAGTCAGAAATCACCTCTTCTGTGGAGGAGTCAGATGTTGGTGCTGTGTGGACGTTTCTGTAACTTGCATGAAGACTTCTGATGAGATGCAACTGACAAAAAAGGCACGGGAATGAGGCAAGCATGAACGGTGGACCCAGCTTGATTTTTACATTCAAACCCTGTCACTGTAGGGACTGTTAGAACTCTCAGAAATTGAATTTTTTCCTTTTCCTTTCCAAAATTCCCTCTCATCTGTTTAATGGCCAAAATGGCCACACTCCATACATCCTTAAACAGAACCATAGAGCAGCAACAGATGTTAGTGGAGATGCTCTGAGTGGAAGCATTCTTCCAATATGGGCCATTCACCTTTTTTAGAACTGGCGACCATAGAGTCTGTGTGCTATACTATCGGCCCTGCTGCCCCAGCAAATTGGGATCTCCAGGGGTAGGTCTAGACTACATGGCTCCGTCGACGGAGCCATGTAGTCTAGACCTACCCCTGGAGATCCCAATTTGCTGGGGCAGCAGGGCCGATAGTATAGCACACAGACTCTATGGTCGCCAGTTCTAAAAAAGGTGAATGGCCCATATTGGAAGAATGCTTCCACTCAGAGCATCTCCACTAACATCTGTTGCTGCTCTATGGTTCTGTTTAAGGATGTATGGAGTGTGGCCATTTTGGCCATTAAACAGATGAGAGGGAATTTTGGAAAGGAAAAGGAAAAAATTCAATTTCTGAGAGTTCTAACAGTCCCTACAGTGACAGGGTTTGAATGTAAAAATCAAGCTGGGTCCACCGTTCATGCTTGCCTCATTCCCGTGCCTTTTTTGTCAGTTGCATCTCATCAGAAGTCTTCATGCAAGTTACAGAAACGTCCACACAGCACCAACATCTGACTCCTCCACAGAAGAGGTGATTTCTGACTGGGGTTCTTTTCCCTTTTAATATGCCACCTCTACAGCCAGATGAGTAAATAGGAAATCATTGATGCTGGGGCATCTGGCATTGGCCATTGAGCAGACAGGACACTGGGCTAGATGGACCTTTGGTCTGATCCAGAATGGCCGTCCTTGTGTTCCTTCCTGCATTGTTCTCAAGCCCACCGGGCAGTACAATGAAGCATCACTCAAAGGGGAAACCAAGATGTCTGCACTGAATCCTCTTGTCTGGTGTTGGTGGAAGAGTGGAGCCTTTAGAGGAGATCAGCATGAGTTTTGCAGGGCAATCTATAAGCACCACTCTGTTTTCTCTCGTTTTAAGGTTATAGCATATTTATTTCTGGGCACATTATAGTCTCTAAGTGGTCATAACAAACGCCTGCTTCCCTCTCTTGCTGTTACAATTCAGATGAATTATACTAGCTTAGTTCATCTCCTCCCGCTCTGCAACGTGGAAAAGCACCTGGCTTATCTGTCCTGGACTGCAGTGCTGGTGTCTGCACTGTAGACAACACAGGAAGATTTAATGTACTGAATTTTCAGCTCCCTATGGCTTTGACGGACAATCTGGAAGCTTCATTCTGAACATTCATTGCAAGCCCGAGTTGCAGATATCTAGGCTGGTGGCTGTCAGTCTATAGCCTTTAGGACTAGGGGATTTAGTCACTTGCTATCTAATTTGTTGTTCATTCTCTGTAGTTCTAAAGGACTTTCTGACGAGCCCACAACAGGAGCCGATCACCTTCAGCAACCGGAAGGGTTTGCAATGCATCTTGCCACTAATAAAAAGTGTGGAAGAAACTCCTCAGCCCATCCAGACAAAAGTCAAAGGGCATATTCCCAAGTGGCTCAAAGGCAGCCTGCTAAGGAATGGGCCTGGGAAGTTTGAGTTTGGAGAGGAGAAGTAAGTCCAGATTTGACCATACTTTGTAATGGTTCCCGGTTGGGTGCGGGTCAAACTTAGAAACAGGGCCGGATTAAGACCTTTAGAGCCCCTAAGCACTGAAAAGATTATGGTGCCTCCCCATATGTAATTCAATATATAAACAATACTATACTGTAAAATCTCATTTTTTTGGGTGCCCCTGCTTTGCTGGTACCCTAAACACGTGCTTAGTCTGCCTATTGGGTAATCCAGCCCTGCCTAGAAAGCTCCTTCACAAATCCATCCCAGCCATTGGGTCCTCTCTTAGCTCTGAAGGTTTGTGACCATGAGATCCCATTCTTCTAATACAAACCCTTTTCTCATCTAGAAGCTTTCAGTATCTTTACCAACCGGATTCATTAATTCTCATAACCTCCCTGGGAAGCAGGAAGGTGTTTTTCCACAGGTGGGGATGCAGAGGCACACAGAGGCTGTGACCTGCTGAAGGCCACATAGTGAGCTAACAAAGATGGGGATGAAACTCCAGCATCCTAACTCCCACTGCCCTGTCTGTAACAACTACTTCCCAACTCCTGGGCATGACTTGCCACCCCGATTGCACTAAGCTGTCCGTGTGCCTTTAAACACAACCCCAGTTCTCACACTGGTCGGTGTTCTTTTATTTCAAAACAAAGAAATGTAGCTCTATCTTTTTAATAAGTAAGAACCCAGGTCAATGTTTTCTCTTTTCCCTACCATCAATACTGGTGGCTCCTGCTACTAACTAGATCCTTGCAGGCCAGCCGCCCACGCACAAGTGGTGAGTGGGAGGGTCCAGTGGCTGATGATGGGGTGAGTGTGGTCAGCAAAGCTGCAATGTGCAGGGCTGGCTGCTCCTCCTGCTGGTCCATCAGTGCAGTCCCCACTGTGTGCCAGCTTTTGGCTAGCAGGGCCCCACTCCCCATCCTGTTTCCAGC